TTGTTACACTTGGAATAGGCTAATGCGAAGGCAGTAGATGTGCTAACCTGGTGTTTGAATGTTATGGATGATGAAGTTGATGACGATGCTGATGACCTTCGGCTCATATAGTTTGATAAAGCCGAGAGAGGAAATACAAAAGCAGCACGCCCAAGCATTATCAGGAACATGACACTACAGTATACACCGATCGAATCCCAGATACTGCAATAATACTTTAAGTTCAGAGCATACTATCAGTTGACATAGTGTGCACAAACTATCATGGTAATAATTTACCATGTTTAGAGTGCTTTTGATGGGGCAGATGAGTTAGTGGGCTTATTTTTTGCCCAGATTTGTCACAAGGAAGAGCAGTGAGATACATGAACAATTATTTATCACAATAAAATCGGACACATTTGATTGGATACATGAACAAGAGTAATAGATCAAGCCATGCATTTATCCTATCAAGACTAAAGATTATATCAACTCTATAAATTGTATCAAATGGGAAGAAACAACCCATCCAAGAATTAGTAAGGATTACCCAAGCTTGCTCATTTTCCATTTCTTGACATCCAAGGCATCCATTCCCACGTATAAAAATATAAATGTTTCTGCAATGAAGGACATCATTGCAAATACATGCCTGCAATCGGAGAAGATTAAAATAAAATACATGATATGCATTGGTATGATAGAATTTGACGTCGTTTTCTGGTTGCTTCATGAAGCCAAATTTAGTTAAATATTTGATATCAGTGGCCACAACATAAATGAGTTCCAATAATCCTTAACAATGAGGCAAAGAACACCATTCCTTGCAAGTAGCTTAGCATAACAACACTATATACCTTGTTGTAACTCTTGAATTGTCGGTTACATTATGCCAAGCATAATGTGACATGAAAATCCCAGAGAAAAAGACAGTCAGGATCCCACTTAGTTCGAATAGCTGTAAAAACATTAAAAAGGTTCTCAAGCTTTGCAATTAAAATAAATTTAAAAAATTTAATGGATATGGCAAAAGATGGAGAAATGATTTCATAGCAAAGATGCAAGGGCGGCAAAGGCAGGGTATAAATAATACAAAAAAAATTTACATCTACTTTGAGGTATAAAATAGCTTCAAACTTTATGCATCTAATGATCTCTCACAGGAGTTAACAAATTGTTGCACCTTTACATAAGCCGAAAGAAAATTGAAAATAATGTGAGGGTAAATTGGCTAAAGTGTATTTTCAGTTACCTCAGCCAACATGTACGACAGGTATGCCATAAGAACCATAAGAGCAATTTCACGAACACTGGAATGTCTGCTAACACAAATAATTACGAGAGTCCACATAAACTCTTAATCAAGAAGACATATCCACCTACACCTGAATATATCAAAGTTTTTTTACCCCACTTCTGCATCAACAAATGATAAAATACGAAACAATTTACCTTCCTAAGTACAAGCCCTTGAGAACAAATGCAGTCAAAAGCCCAGCCTGAGACAATTAACAAGCAAACTCGGCTTACTTTGTGCATAAAATAGAACTCGTAGGTAATTAGTACCATCTTAATCAATTAAAAGTAACTCAAATCACCAACAAGAATTTCATGTACAATTTTGTTCTTTTTATTCATCTTTCCAAGGAAAATAAATCAGCAATTGAATAATTGATAGGCAAAGCAAGCACTTAATGAATTATTAGTCATACGAAAATGAATTTGCGTTAATATATCTTGTTGGCTGTCATTATATCTTCTTGTTGTTATTATTATAGTTATTTAATAATTCCAATCTCTGATGCCCAAGGGCCAGGCCAACGCTAGGTATCCGACCAACAAATTGGCTTCCAGATTAAAAGAGAGAGAGAGAGAGAGAGAGAGAGAGAGAGAGAGAGA